CACATGGGTGGACTCGACGAGTTTCTTGAAGATGGCCTGGAACTCGACGAGTTGGAAGAACAACTCGGCGAGTAGGTTGAAGATAGCCTTGGACTCGACGAGTCCATTTGGACTCGGCGAGTCTTGTCGAGGATGTCCCAATATTTCTGGTTGAGTCGAGGAATCGGTGAGTCAAGGGATGACTCGGTGAGTTGGGTGCGAGTGGACTCAGAGTTGTTGGACTCGGCGAGTCTTGGGGCGCGACTCGGCGAGTTGGGTCGCTGATGGGAAGGAAGTTCTGAGCATAAGGACTCGGCGAGTCATCGGGTTGACTCGGTGAGTAGGGTCAGTCAGGGGTTGACTTTGACTTGTCCAAGGTTGACCAGTTGTCTTCCGGGGGTATTTATTGAGTTGTATGTTTTGATGTTCAGTGGAGGAGTTCGTGTCAGAGTTCGGAGCAGCGGGATCTTATCCTTTCAGCCGGTAGTTTCGAGGTGAGTTATCCTCACTATATCAACAGGGTCTAAGGCACCAAGGCCGGCCCTTTATTGGATCGAGATTCAGATATGGTTATTATGTTATTGTTTGATGTGTCTGCATCCTGGTAGTTAGGATGGTGCATGCTAGGAGACCTTGTTAAGGTCAGTTCCCCGATATATATAAGTGTTGCTATGCGAGTGACCGGTTAGGTCGGTAACCTGGGTAGGGTAATGATATGCTATGTGATCTGTTTGTTCGGTTTGTTGGCTATGACTGTTACATGATTGTATGTTTTGTGCACATGGTTGTTTGGACTAGAGATGGGTTGAGGCGGGTCCTGCCTTTTGTTGTAGGTCAAGATACCCAAGGCGGACCGGTTATTCCGAAGGCCCAGCGAGCGGTCCGGATAGGCTGTAGGCCCCACGAGGGCGGACCAGACGTGCCGAGGCTCGGAGAGTGGACCAGGCCGACTGAAGGCCCGATGCGGGCGGACCAGTCACACTGTAGACTCAGAGAGTGGACCAGGTGGGTTGAAGGCCCGATGCGGGCGGACCAACCCCACTGTAGACTCGAAGGACATGACTAGACCTGGAGGATGGATCTGGTGGACTGAAGGCCCGATACGGCGGACCAGTCACACAGTAGACCCGATATGCATGGTTGTTCTATGTTCTGTTATGTTATGTATGTTTATATGTTTTGGACCCGAAGGTCGCAGCCTGGAAGGGCGTATACATGGTTGGTATTTTGGGGGTATCTCACTAAGCTTTCAGGCTTACAGTTGTGGTTTAATGTTTTTCAGGTTCTTCAGGAGACTGTGGCAAGGCGAAGGCGCGATCGTACCGCTCCTCATGATTTTGTAGCAATGTGATTCTGGGAATACTCTAAATGATTTGTATTGAAAACCTTTTTGTAAACAATTTAATGAAAATCGGGTTATTTTGAAAATTTTAAATTGGTTGTATTTTTCGGATGTTACATGTATGGTACTCGTTTGTTGGCCCTGTGACCTATTAGCTATGGATTTTGTCAGTGAGGTGAGTTTCCTCACCATGTTTAGCGGGTCGAAGGCACCAATGTCGGCATATGGTTTGTTATGATAGGATGTTAGATGTCTGCGTGACTCTTGCATGTGTATATGCTTGTATGCTTACTGGGTGGGGCTCAATGGTTATTCTGTATGCTATTACATTTGTTATACTTGTATGTTTTGTATTTTGGGTAGGGCCCGTTACGCAAGTTAGGATGAGGCATGTTATAGTTAGTGGGTGGGGCCCGTTGTGCGAGTTAGGATGGGGCAAGTTATACTCAGTGGGTGGGGCATGTTATTCAAGTTAGGGTGAGGACCGTTATACTCAATGAGTGGGCCGATTATGCGAGTTAGGGTAAGGCCCGTTATACTCAGTGGGCGGCGCTCATTATGCGAATTAGGGTGGGGCCTGTTACACTCATCGGGTGGTGCCCATTATATGTTTGATATGTTTGGTATGTGGTATGTTGAAGAACTCACTAAGCTTTGTGCTTATGGTTTTCAGTTTATGTTTTCAGGTACTTCTGTTTCGAAAGGGTAGAGTTTGGGATGATTGCATTGCACACACCACATTGTTCCGCATATTACATGAATCTGATGTACTTGGATGTTTATTGATATACTCTGATTCACTATGGTTTTCATGAAATGGTTTTGGATAATGGTTTTTTTTAAACTTAAAATCGAAATTTTTAGTCTTAAATTTTGGGACGTTACAACATATCACAATTTCAACAAATAGACCCAGCTAGTTAGCACATATGTATACTACCACACAACCAAGTATAGTGAGAAGACTCACCTCGCTTAGAAGACTAATAAAACTCACACCTGAAATGCCAGAACTAGAATCCTCCTATTACTTGCACCAAGTAACCCCAATTAGAAATTAAGGTAATTATCCTAACTCAACAAGCCCCAAGCCAAGTCTAATCCACAATTTAGACAAAAGACCATTTTCCCCTTCCATGACCAAAACACTCACAAATTGACCAAAAGTCCCACTAAGTCAAAAAGGTCAAAGGACAAAAAACTTGACCTTATGCGCAATGTACCAAGTCTTCACGCTTAGCGTGGAGCACAAATTCTTGAAAACGAGTTCCCAACTCGCTACGATGGGCGTAGCCAGATTTACACTTTACATACTGAGCCTAAACTCAAATCTTAAATTTTAAGCTCTTAATTATTAACCACCTTCACCCCAACCTTAGATCTGACCCTAAAAGGCATTCTAATCCATAAAGTCTCTAACTTTATGCATTTACATGGCTAAAGAGAGCTTAATCCCAAAACCCTAACTTCTAATATCACCAAAAACTCCCTAACTTATGCATGGATGAAAGGAAAGGACCAAGCTTGCATTTTTATGACACCATGCAGTCAAAAACGTCTGGAAGGACAACTCAAATGGTCTGGAGTAGTCCATACTCACAAAGACCAAGAATTTGGGACAAAATTGTTTTGGTCAAGAAATGACCAAATTAAGATCGACCAAAGTGTATGAGAGGTTGTGAGGTTCAGAATAAAGCAAGTATATAATGTAAATCAAAGAAGCTTCAAGTTGTTTACAAGGAAACCCTTGATCCTTGCTAGTATCCCTGGCATAAAACCTCGGGAGGTGATAATGATCGCCTGTCTTGATAATTTTATTGATTGAAATGGTTGTTTATAGAGAAAATGTAAATAATACGAGTACAAGTGTAATAGTGATGCTAAGTATTGTGTGTAGTGTGATGAATACAAGTGATTTATATAGTTAAAAGCTAATAATAAGAATTCTGGAAATTCAGGGATCCTCCGAGATCAGCTTATAGACGTTGCATGACTTGGTCCTCAGGGTCTTTTGCATGGTTGTGGCTATTTGTTGAGACTTTCATTGGTTATCACTGCACATGTGAGAAAGATAATAGAATATATAGCCATTATAAATGTTAGAATAATAGTGATTAGGATCTTAAAATATATTTGGGATCCTAAGGTTTGAGGATCCTTAGGCTTGAGGATCTTGTTGTAGCTCGGAGATCCTAGCCCTAACAATTGCCTCCAAATTATTCATGCGAAATATTTTGGAGTTAAATAGCCAAAATTTAAAGGGATAATTTTAAAATAAAAAAGAAATAAGTATGATAAGGGGTTTTGAGTTTTAAATCCTAACAGATAGGATTTATTTGTTCAAGAACTATCATAACCGGTATAATCATTCTTTCTCTTTCTTCTGCCATCATCATAAATAGAGGCAATCGAATAAGGCTATTCCCCACGTGTCTTTTAGCTTTCATCTAAGTGTTCATAGTTGTCTTTTGAAGGTACGCTTCTTTTTCCTTCCCCTTAATCTTTGTTTAACTTTAACATTGGGCAAGAAAATGACTATATCTCATAAAAATATCCTCGCTCCTTATGAGGATGATTTCATCGATCAAAGGATTTTATCATATGAAGAGGTATGTTCTTTTGATGAAGATGATATCAAATCATTGAATACAGTCGGGAATCTTTCCAATGAAGTTGTCCTTAAACCCATTGATCCAAAACACCAACCCAATTTTGCTTCCTTCTCTTGGGCCTGCTTTCCTTGACACCCCTTTGGTTTGGGTTTGAAATATCCCTTTTCCGGGATTGTTTCCTATTTATTAGAAGTTACTCAAATCTATTATGTCCAAGCCATCCCATCGTATGCAGAATCTTGTTTTGGATTGAGAATTTGAACCGATCCAAAGATTTGGGTATAGGATTAACTGAGTTAGCTCATGTGTATGATCATACTACCTTTGAGAACTCCCGTTTTCTTCTTAGGCTAAAACCCTACAAATTCTCTCTTGTTTTGAAAATGAAACATAATGATGATCCTTGTAAGGAAAAGTACTTCTTTGTGAGACGTGATTTGATCCTTGGTAGGGATTCCCTACCGAAGACCTAGGTCAAAAAGGGTAGGAATAAATATCCCTTATATTGAGGATCTTGGGATTCACCTTTCATTATTTTGTTTTCTATTTAAAGCTTTCAAGTTTGAATAGTTTATTCATATTTCCAAGGATACTAAAGAGAAGATAGAGAAGCTCCTCGTTGTTTCTGCAGCCGATAGGTCTTTCAAGCTCGATTGTTCTAGTCTCCAAGAAGGCTTATCTACTACTACATCAATGGCGACTGGTAAGATCCCTTTTATTTTATGCGGTAGTTTAGAAGCGATGAGGATCCAAAATGAGAATCTTATATTGATGAGGATCTTATGTGGCGTGTAGGATCCAAGGCTACTCGTTTCAATGCTCGATTCACTTTATCTGATCCTAAATATGGTGTGTCTAGCAGCCTGAGCTTACTCAATAGGGAGAAAGTTGCCTTGCCTCTTCCTCTTAAGAAATATCACATTGATCTTACCGTGAAGACCCCGGTTCTCGTAATAGGAAAACTTCAGAAGCCACGAATCTAAACTTGGAGAGTCTCGGAGCATAAGAGGCGCTTCAAAAGTTGCTTTCTCACTACTAGAAAACAGCCCTTTAATGACACGCAAACAATGACACTCGCTGATAGACGACGCACATTTGTAAGTGCCCTAAAAGATAATGTCAGTTTTGCAAAATTTGAAGGATAAAGGGCACGCATTTGTGCGCGCCCTAAAATTAGTGTCAGAAAAGAAAAAAAAAATGCGAAGGGCGCCTTTCATAAAATGTACTTCGTGTAAATGTGTCGATTTATAATTTTTAAGTGAAACACGTGTTTTAAGCAGGAAATGAAATCGACGAAAATTACTCCCGCCTATTGAATCCCAAAAATTAATCCCCCCGCCTCTTCTACTTAGCAAGAAAAAGCCCTAGGTACCTTATCTTCATCTTCGGTATCATCAAACGTCTTGTTCATCCTCTGCATTATTTCCATCGTTCTTCCCTCTCCTCACTGATCAATACCCAAAAAACCCTAATATCATAACCACTCCTATTTTCTTGCACAACAAAATCCCAAAAACATCACCAAATACTAAATTCCACAAAATCGTTGTGACAATTTTAGCTAGGGCTTTTTTCAAGAAAGAAAACACTCTCGCATCTCTCTTAGCTCTGAAATAAGGGAAGATTCACCTTGCTTCGCCTTTGGTCACTTCTCCTCCGGCGACGTCAGGCATTCCTCGTTACAAATCGACCAACGATATCGTGATGAAGCTTGGCTACCAAGCTGTGACCTTACACTGAGGTAGAAGACTTCACGGTAGGTTTTCCTTTGGTGTTTCCCCTAAAGCTAATTTCCAGTCTTTCATCCCCTTTTACTCCACCGATCGTTCGATTGGCAATGATTCTTGACTCTTACTGCCCTATGACCCTCTTCTTCCTCACGTCGTATTCTATCCTATCGTTCTTGCTTTTCATCTCCTTCTCACTATAAATAATTGCAGGTTCTATCTAAGAAATCAATTTTAGGGGGTATTAGGGTTGGAATTTTCTAATTTAATGGTTTGTTGTTTTCAAAATTAGGATTAATCGATGTTGGTGGTTTGGTCGCACGCCTTCTTCACTGTGGGATAGAGATCCTCTCCCATTGTTTTTGCTAAGGTACATTTCATTGATTTCTCGATCATATGTCTACTTCAATATCTCACACCTCTGTGTCTCCGTGTTTGCAATTGCAGGTAAACAAAGGGTCTGTTCCCCCATCGTTCTCACTTAAAGATTAAGACTGTAAAACAGTGAGCCTCTCGAAATTCAAAGGCAAGCCTCTTGTGGTCTATTTCTACCCTGCTGATGAAACCCTTATTTGCGCTAAACAGGTTCGAATCACATTTTCTCGTGTCTTTATCCTTAAAGAAATGATCTTTTCGAAGCTTACATCTACTAATGTTGGATGTTTAAACATCTTTGGAAAAATTATTGTTGATTCTCGTCTAGAAAGTATATGAGTAGATAAACAAGATTTGTTATGCAATCTTTAGGCATGTGCATTTAGAGACTCTTATGAAAAATTCAAGAAAGCAGGAGCCCAGGTTATCGGGATTAGTACTAATCCAGGAGGTGGGCATCAACATGTTGTTGAAGGGGTAATCTCTAATTCCATTTCACGCTTGGACTTTTTTATTTTTTATTGTGAAATGAAAATGGTTTCTTGATTTTTTTTTTTCAGGCATTTGCTTGGGGTTTTGATATTTGTAGCTGGCAACACCACTTACAAAATTGTCCCTCCCTATGGTTTATGATTTGAGATGTGGTTGAAAAGATCCAGGCATAGATTCTGATTTGGATCGACTGCATTCTCTTTCTTTTTTACTTAATGGACTTTATGAGAACATGGCTCATCATAGTGACTTAATAATGTATTTGTAGAAATCCGGTTTATGTTCATGTTCAAAGATCGATTTGAAAGAAAGAAATAATGATTCAAAGGAATCTTCTTCTCATTCATTAACTGAACATTTACCAGACTATTACATATATGTACAAATAATAAAATTACACATCAAAGCTTCTAACAGACTTGTAACAACTAGAACACATAAAATAACAAAACTACCCTTGGTAGTTAACTGTCATATTAGCTAGGTTGGAATACTAGTTAACAAAGGGACCCGGTTCCTTGAAACATATCCGGTTCAAAAACCCGATTTTTTAAACATATCCAGTTTTTTTTAAACATATCCGGTTCAAAAACCCGGATTACCAGGACCCGATTCTGGTTTCTTTAAAACATATCTGGTTCAAACCCTTTGGATCTCTTCCCTCGGGTATTCAATATTTTTCTTCACTTTCAGATTGAAAATTTTCGTTTTAGACCCTATAGATTGTAACCGTGTCATGTTTGGTCCAGGGACTTCCTGACATGGACGCAAATGGTCCTGCTGGTAACTTGGATTTTCTTCGTAACAGTCCACAGGTATTTATTTATTTATTTATAAACTAGTCAACCATATCTACATACACATTAATTATTAATTATCTCAATAAAATACAAATATAATTTATATTAGTGTTCCAATTTCAAGCACTTCAAGCCATGGTGCAGGCTAATCCCCAAATCTTGCAGGTATTTCATAAATACAAATCATAATACTTCTTAAAGACATAAAGGGTAGTTTTTCTTTGGAAAAATGTTATATTAGCCCAATCAACTTGTCATATTTGTTTTAAAAGGTCACTTAACTTATTTTTTTGTATTTTAGGGGAAAGAAGTGGGTTTTGTTAGGTTTAAAAGGTCACTTAACTCATTTGTCACTTAGCCCTAAAAGAAGCATACAGAACACGTCCTTTTGTCCCAAGCAAAACAAGAACAAAGAAGATTACTTGGTTCCAAAGGACCTACTTTAAACTCAAGCAAAACAAGAACAAGAAAGGAAAGAAGAAACTGGAACAAAGGATAATTACTTGGTGCCAAAGTCTCTTCCTTAATAAGCAAAACAAAGATGATCCTGAATACAAATAAGGATGCAACACAGACCTACATTTATACTAGACACATAATGAGTTTGCCTCTAACACAAAAACTAGGAAGAAACTTAATTTCCTATTTTACCCCTAGAACTAAAAAGCTGTTATTTTTTTTACACTCGATTAGTGATAAACAACAATATTCATGAGTTGGCATGGGTCGGTTTGGGTCGGTTTTTGGCTAAAACCAAACCAAACCATAGAAAGTCAGTTTTTCGGTTTTTAAATCCATACAGGTTCGGTTTTTGCATGGGTCGGTTTTTCGGTTTTCCGGGTTGAGTTTATGGGTTTTCGGTTTTAAACCGTGGGTTTATGAGCTCCTATTTTTTTCTATTTTTTGGGTTCAAACCTAATGAAAATACGTTGCGATAAATAGTATTTTATCTACTTTAAATATAATAAAATAAAGAGTATGAATTCTAGTATTATAAAAGCATAAAAGTGTTCAAAAGATCAAAGTTTAACACCATTAACAGTTTGTTGAAAATAAACATAAAGTCTAAAACTAAAAGTTTAAATCAAAATATAAATAATATATATGTGGGTCGGTTCGGTTTTTATGGGCGGTTTTATACGTCAAAACCGAACCAAACCGTTATTTTTCGGTTTTTGTATAATTCAAACCTAAACCGTCGATTATTGCTTTGGTTTCGGTTTTTCGGTTTCGATTATGTCGGTTTTTTTTTGGTTTTTCGGTTTTCGGTTCGGTTTTTGCTCATCCATAGTTGGCATCATGGATATTATATATAATTAGGGCTGGTCCGTTGATTTAGACAGGTAAAATGTTTTTTTATTTTTTATTTTTTTATTTTCTTAATTGATGATTTTGAATTGTTTTTTTTATTCATGAATTTGGTAGGTTTGATAGCCTAGTTGGATTGTTTTGGAGCAGGATGTCAACCAAGTTCAACTAATGACCCTTTTGGTCTACGAAGAATCTCATATGGTCCAAGTGTTGACTGATTTAAATTGTCATATGATCTTGAAGAAAAAGACACTTCTGAAAGCTTCTACAGCCCACTAGACAGAAAGAGAGCCTTCATTTCTTCTTTATAGTTATCCTATGACAAAACAGGGCCATGAATTAGCAAACCTTTCCCTCAACAACTCCACGTCTTCATCTCTCTGCACAAGAATCACACATATGCAAAAACAATAAGCTTCCTCGTCTATATTTTTCAATAATTATAAAATATATATATTATATATTTATACACCAGTTCTCTTAATAATGGCACAGGGATCCCGATTCTGTGGCCAGAAGGTATCATCTCCCATGGTCTTTTGGCCTTCTCTACATCTCCTTTCTCACCATAGAGGGAAACTTGGTGGAGGAAAGAAAGCTTCTTCAGTACCTGTAGCAGACAAGTTGGAAGGATATTTGTGAGGGTAAGAATGTAATTTTCCATTCCAGGAAAAAAAATGTAAATTACTTGCTTGGATGGAAAATGATGGCATAAAAGGCTCTAAAAGTCAAGCAAGAAGAGAAACTACTCCCACTGAAGTTTTCATTACTGTGGAAGATGAAGGTAGGTCTTCTCTGTAAAGCTTCCAGAATTTACTTTCCTGCATCAAGTTAATAAATAAACCCATTCATGCATGCTTAACTAATGTCTAAACTACAATTTATTTGGTATGATGGAATGGAATCACAACAATGTAATGGAATGGATTGTTACATTCCATTACCATGTTTGGTTGTCCCTTTTTTTGTAGACTTACTTGTAGATACGCGTTGCCCTCACCAGATATTCTCATTGTAATTTTCAATCCTTGTTTTAGCTTGACCTGTATGTGAATTTGTAAAATATAATATTCCAATGAGGAGTCATTTCATAATATCTAGAATGTTCTTGTATCAAGAATTACCTTCTCCATGGCCCAAAAAAAGTAAAAGAAGATGATCTTTAAAGAAAACACATTAGAAGTCATACCCAAGTTACTGGTTAGGTGAGAATTTAAGTTTTATATAAGTTAGATTATTTTAGATAATAATCAAAATAAAAATTAAACATTGCATATTCTTAGAATATCATTATTTTATCTTAACATTAAATTATTTATGAGCTTTTTGAAATCATGTCCCAAAATTGGTTACCATGACTTGAGGATATGAATGTTATTAAACATCGGGTACTCACCATCTAATCAAACTTTTATGATTAAAAAGTACAAATTGGTGGCAAGTTGACAGTTAGATTGTAGCGAAGGAAAGGTCATCTTCTTTTACTTTGTTTGGGCTTATTCATGGCCCAATTTTGTCATAGGATAACTATAAAGAAGAAACGAAGGCTTTCTTTCTGTCTCGTGGGCTGTAGAAGCTTTCATAAGTGTCTTTTTCTTCAAGATCATATGACAATTTAAATCAGTAAACTCTTATCCGCTGTCTTTTGATTGATTATAATTTATAGTTGTTGATGGGTGTTTCTTTTAGGTCTAAGTGTTGGTAGAAAAAGATAGTCCAAATACTTACAACATGTTTTGGAAGTTGCTGCTTCTGTGCAATCTTTGAAAATAGATGTTGTAACAATACGCGAGGTAGACGTATTCTTGTTTCTTGTCATTTGTATTGCATTTGATGATAAGATTAGGAGGGCATTTATGTCTTTTTTTATAAATCTTTTTATAAAAAAAGATTTATAAATCTTTTTATAAAAAGATTTATAAATCTTTTTTTATAAATCTTGTTTCTTGTCATTTGCTGCCAAGGTATAAATTATTCTTATATAAAATGAAATGGTAAATTTTTATATTCTTTTTTATAAATCTTTTTATATTTTATATAAAAAATAGGTTGTGGGAAAGGTGTTGCCAGAGCTAAATGGAAAGCTTACTGGAATGGATTTTAGGGTTCATAATTTGATGGGTTTAACCAACCAAAGAGTCTTACGTTAAGTTCCACAATTTCCCCTGATACAGGCACGATGCTCTCAACTAGTCGGCCATCAAATCTTCTGAATACACCAACTGGTATGATGATGATGTAATACCTTTTCTTATTTTGCTCGCTAAAAGACACAATTGTGATGAAAATTCAGTACACAATGCACTCAGAATGCTATCACGAGATGATTAAGCGTAATAAGTAAGTCAATCTAAACTTGTCTTGGATTAGTTCATTTCCAAATCTTGTGAAATTTTAGCTAAATTTCAATGGACTTTATTACAGATACTCTTTTCCCATATGCTCAAAATCAGTAATGGATATGTCTATGATGTGGAGATACTAGATGAAGAGGTGCAACTATTGAATCTGTGACTGTGAAAATTTAATTTTAAACAACAAATTCTTGATCATCTTTCATTTCTATAAGTTGGTTTGTTTTGTAATTCTCAGATTGAAGCTACTGTGATGCCTGAAGATTACAGACAAAAGAAGGTATTATATTACGAGTTTCTTGAATTTTGAATCTTGAAGAGATTGAAATAGTAGAAGTGGGTGGATAAATGTGAAAATTGTTGGTTTGGATCTTATGTAATGAGTGCAATGACACTTCAGAGTTTATTGAATTTTGAATCAGGAAGAGATTGAAACTGCTAAGTTTTAATGTAATTCTTTATCCACTTCACTTGTGTTGTGTGTGGATTGATTGATTTGGGGAACAGAGAGGCTTCCAAATATGAAGAAAGATCCTACTTGAGGATACTTTTGGACAGCAGAGATGCGTCAAGGTAACATAACATATCTATTTATTGTTGGAGTCTTTATATAATAAGTAGACAAATTGCTATAAAATGACAGAAATTGAACATCTCCAACGTGAAGTATGCATATACTTCCAATTATTCTGATGGTTTGCAATGTCAAAAATTTATGTTTCTGGTTATCATCTTCTCTTTCTATTGCCATATGCTCACAAAAATTTTTGTAGCTGATTACACATTGATTTAATCATGCAGGTTTTGAAGTTTTTGATGGAAAAGAATACTATTAATGCTCTTCACAAAAAAGTATGTTGGTATTTTAGGAAATTTGGCTAATAATTTAGTTAATTATATAAAAAATGTTGAAATGTTACATTTGTCTACTATTGGAATGATTATTTGTATGACATTAACTTTCGTGCAATATATTGTATTTTTTTTATATGGTATTTTATTTTCTATTATGAGACATGAAACGCAAATTTAATTTGAAAATCAGTAAATCTATAAATATATATATTTTTAAAATATATTAAAATTACGATACACAAAAATGTGTGTCGTCTTCATTTATGACATGTCCTTTCTTGACAGGGGCTTCCTTGATATGCATTGTGTGTCATAAACGCGCGCGTCGTAAGGTTACGACACGCAAATGCGTGTTGTCTTTCTTTATGACAGGGCCTTTCTTGATACGCATTACGTGTCATAACCGCGCATCGTAAATACACGTCATAAATGCGCGTCATCTCTCTTTATGACAGGGCCTTCTTTGACGCGCATTTGCACGTCATCTGAGCGTTTTACGATGTGCAATGAGCATCGTAAAAGGCTGTTTTTCTAGTAGTGTCTTTTTCTCAAGCTGTAAGTTTTCGTGTGACATTAGTTTTTGATCTCTACTTGTTTTTACTAACGTCATGCTTATTTCTGGTTTCCGCTCACGTTTCCCAATCAGTATTTGATCTAAGGATATGAGTTGAAGAGGCTGAGCGAGAGAAGGAGTAGAAGGCAACTAACGAGCATCTCTTCAATAGAATCGATCTACTAATCAAAGATAAGGATGAGAAAGATGAGGAACACACCCTGTAGATCAAACAATTGATTGTCGATGAAAACCTAAGTGTTGCGGTGGCTATTTGGGAAGCTAAGATTAAGTTGGCGGAGGATGTAGTCGGATGGCGGGAGGCACTAGCCAAAATAATTGGCAAGCATGTACCGCTATTGAGGATCTTGGGTCGCAACCTGCAGAGGGGGAGAAGAGAAAGAATGGGGCTGATGATGACAATGCTAAGGTCTAGGCCTGCAAGAAATTATTTTAAGTTTTTTGTTGTTTTAGTAATGTAAGACAATTAAATTTTTTGTTGGGTTGGTGTGCAACCCCTTTTGAATGAAATGGTTTTGCTTCCTTTTCATATTTTTCCATCGATCATTCTACATGGCTATTATGGTACTAGGATCCTTAAATAACTAGGATCCTGAAAAACTTGGTTCTTGGTATTCTTAGGAAAAATTTGAAGTCATGACTTCCCTATATTCATATGATCTTGATGCTATCATGCGAGAGGATCTTTAGTTTAGAAGTTTGTTGGGAGTAATCCTTATTTAACTTTGGGAAGGATCCCTGTTTTAAACGATATCCATCTTAAGGAAAATATTTATATGATGATCTTATAAACTGTGTTTACTTCCTGGGGAGTATCCCATCTTCAGATAACATGCTAATGTTACGACTTTGTAGCAAGTCTTTGGGGAAAATCCTAATTCAAGGTTGCATGTTAACATTACAAACCTTCGTAAATCACTAGGTAAAATCGTATGAAAATGTTATACACCATAATATGTAAGTATTATAAACCTTAGCAACTTTCTGGGGAACATCTCAACTTAGGAACATGTGAATGTTACAAACCCTAGGAGTTCTTTGGGGAAGATCCCAACTTGGGATAACATATGAATGTTATAAACCTTAAGAGTTCTCTAGGGAAGATCCCAACTTAGGATAACATGTGAATATTATAAACCTTGGGTTCAAACATTAAGGATCTTAACTTATGTTAAGAAACGAGAGGGTTGCCAAGTCACTAAAGCGTGAAATGATCCCCTCATTCACATCCCATAGTTGGATATCATGACCTCATGTGAGGTGTATAAACCTAACTCGTGTGAAAAAGGTAACTAACTCTTTAAACCTTCGAGGGGATTGATTACCCTTATTCGTAGGAGAGATTATCAGTCTCTATTCTTGGGAAATTCACATTGTGAATTGTTGGATGTTTGTAGTTATGGAATTATTTTATCCTTGTGTTCTTGTGATCGCTAGGATCCTCGATATTCATCCATCGATACCTTAAGTGTTAGGATCTTTAAGCGTCGGGATCCTTAGAAGTCAGAATCCTTAAAATTCAGGATCCTTAGAAGTCAAGATCCTGAAGTCCCTGCATGCAACAAACATTAGCTAGGGGTTGGTGTTATCATGGCTAACTCCCTTCCGATGCTTAAGCTATGAATGTCATTTGAAGGGAATAAATAGTAACAAAAATAAAAGGTAAATAGTGTGCGTACCTTAATTGTATCGGGAAATAACTGACCATACCTATATAAAATAGGCATTGAGATTCACCGCATTCTACGATATTGATAAGATATTTCCATCTAGGGTGGCCAACCAATATTTCCCCTTTCCTACTTCAGTGTCTATGAGATATAGCCCTTCCCATTTAGGTGCTAGTTTACCTGCACTAGGATCCTTGGTATTTTGGAACATTTTTCTTAGTACCAAGTCTCCTACTTGGAATCTTCTAACTCTTATGTTTTTATTGTACACCCTAGTGCTCTTTTGTTGATGAGTAGCAATATAGATCTTATCAACATCCCTAAGTTCATCTATAGTGTCATGATCTTGGGCCAGGATCCTATTGTTTTCTTGATTTTGAAGTAGGTATCATGTTGCTGCGATCACCACTCCAGTTGGCATCATTGCCTCTGGTCCAAACACTAATAAGTATTCGGTTTGGCCTGTAGCTACCTTGGAAGTGGTCTTATCTGCCCATAATACGAAAGGAAGTTCTTCTGCCCATTTTCCTTTCTTCTTATCCATCTTTTTATTTAAGTTGTTGACTATAATTTTATTGTTAGATTCTGCTTGGCCGTTGGCTTGAGGGTGGACAAGAGTAGAAATCATTATCTTGATTCCCTAACTTATGCAAAAGTCCCTTGTCCTTTTGCTTATAAAT